CTTTATTTTAGGTGGGCATCAGATATGCCTATCAGGGTACCAGACATTTTCAAACAGTCATGATCATGTCTGGTTAAGTGAGTGTTGATTCTGAAGTAGCTGCTGGAAAGCTCCAGCAAGTCCAACACTGTTGCCACTGCACCAAACAGCATGGGACAAGTCTTCTTTGGGACATCTCTAGAGCCTGTGGGAAATGCTCTGGAACATGCTCCTTGAAGGCAAAGCACCATTATTTGAAAGCAACTTTAAGATGTCTGGAGGCAAGTCTGGTGAATACAATGATAGTACCATCTTGGACTCCAGATGAGGGGTAGCAAAAAGCAATGAGCCTGAGCACTGACTGTCAAATGGCTGAAGGTAATCACCAGGGAAGCATTTTAGGCACACCTGGTCTCACCACTAGTAGGCCTACATTAAAGGACAACCTTTCATTTAAGTACCAGACTTAGTGCTTTACATAATCATATTGTATAAATTAGCTAAAAATTAGAATGCTTTCTTGGGTGAAAGATACCTTATACGCACTTGCTAAGCAAAGTGCCCTAAGGAGGAGTTTACAAGCAAGGAGTTCCCATCAGTCTCTTACCTGAGTGTGAGGATTATATAACAAACACATACAAGGACACAATAAGTACAGATGTCTTCCCTCTCACAAAACAGGAATGAGGCTAAGATTTCAGGTGCTGTGCCCTGATCTCCTCTCCTGATCCTTTCTAAATTCTGTAATAAATACAGGAAAAAGGCCAGCCAGCTGTGAGAAGTCAGACCCAAGAAGTATTTCCAGATTAGCAAAACTAAGAGTTCCAGTAAAATCCTATGTTCAAGTTAGAAGATCAGTTGAAGAGCTGGAAGACTAAAATGACTGGTCCTCTGATTGGGAATGGAGTATGGCACCGCCTCCTTGACCCAGGAGGCTCAGCAGGGTAGTTAACATTGTGAGTCAAAAGGCACTTCTAGGGCAGCTGAATACGTAGAGGGCAGATTTTCTGCTTTGAAAGTAGAACTAAGCCGAGGACTGGCAAGTTAAAGACATTTAGCCCCAGGCCAGCCTTGTGGGTCAGGAGCACTCTGGTCCCTGGCTGCTTTCACAATCAGGCCCTTATCTACCTCACTCCTGGCATTCTTGTGGCACTGCAAGTTATGGCTTGCTGCATTTTCATGATGTGGTTTAAGTAGCTTACTTGCTCCATTTCTAGGATGGTAGATTTTTCAGGGGTGTAGGGCACAATAAAGCTACTGAGATGGTTCAATCAGACTGATCTTGAGACCTTGGGATGGAGAAACTGCTAGGGCAGGGGACTTTGGTTTCAAGAAGTTACAGTGCTCACAGGATCACTTAAATCCCATAGATACAAGTCCTTGTGGTTAGGCCCATTTGCTGGAAAAGTGAAGTGGTTTGGAATTTCAGGAAGTCACGTGGACTTTTCACATGGACTTAGCCCAATCCTGCATTAGGACATTCATTTAGGTAAAAGCAAAGATCTTGCTTGAGATCTTTAGTTGAAGGATCTGTTTTACATACTCTTGGGAGGCAGGAAAGGAGAAAGCATGGGGCATGGGAGGAGCAAATGAGAGAGGCTAATTTCATCACTTCCTTTAGGGTGTTGTTCAAACTTTTTTTTTTTTGCAACTAGGGCTCCAAATAGGCAATTATTGCTAACAGAATTTCCTTTTGTATGTACATTTGAGATAAATCACATTTGGAGCACTAGTTTCAATCTTATTTTGATAATTCCCCATTAGCCTGAGCAGAGGCTGGTCTGTTCACATCTAGGGATAAAGTCAAAAGCTAGAATTCTGAGCCCTAACAATGGCAGGTTTAGCTGCAAGAAATTCTTACAGTTTAGTTTCATGATCTTCCTAGGTCTCCTTAGTGCAAAGCATGAGAGAAACTTGCAGAAACTATAGAAGGGGAGGGAGATACAAGCTTGGAAGTAGGCCTCAAAAATGAAGATCTCTTAAAAAAAAAAAAAATGAAGAATTCCCACTTTATTGGTACCAGAATTACTGGGAGAATTTGTGAGAAAGGTATACTGCCAGAAGCTCCCACCGCCAAAGTCCTGAGCAGATGGAGGTGCAGTCATATTAGGAGGTAAGAGAGTAGTATAGAATGGATAGATTCTGAAACAGAAAAATGAGGGAAAGAAAAGTACACAGAAACAGCTGTGAAAAAGATCTAGGAAAACATGGATGGAAGTGAGAAGCAAGAAAGGAAGTAGAAATGTAAAAAAAAAAATATGCCCGGTGTCCCATGGCATAAGACGTCAGTGAAAAACCAGCAAGTTGGCATAGGCTTTGTATATGTTGGCTTTCTCTGGAGTTTCTGCTTCCAGAACCCCAAAGTGCCAAACAAAATTCTCAAAAAATTCCAGGTTATTAGGCTGGTCAAATGGGCCAACATACAAGACTAGGTACACAGGAGGTGGCCAGGCATAGTCCCTGCAACACCTATTTTCTGTGGATGTGGCAGCTTGCAGGGAGGGTCTCAAGATCAATCCAAATTGGCCCTGGCACCCCCAAACTAGAGGTTGAGCTCTCTGGGCAGTGAATTCAGCCTGGAGAGAATGCCTTCAGTCTGGTCAGTGTCTGCGCTGGCGTTTTGCAATCTCCTCTCGGATGCGCAACTTGAGGGCTTCTCGCATGGGTGGATCCAGAGGTGTGTGTGCAGATACCTCCTCACTCACCCTTCCTGGATCATCATCCTATGTGGAGGAAGAGTCAGGAAGCTCAGGGACTAGCCTCTTCTGCAAAGGTGACCTGCCATATCCCTAAACAATAGTCTCACAGAAATCTATTTGACTCACAGCTTCTTGCCAGTGCCTGTCATTTCCCAGGTGTCCCCTGTAACAGTGATTTTCAACTGGGGGCCACATGCCCTTCCTGTTGCCCACTGAGAATCACTGTGACAGGTATGAGTTATGCTCAAAAATGTTACCCAGTAGTCTATGCTCCCATGTGGAACAGACACTTCCCACTGGCCCTGAGGAAAACGGTGGCTCAGGGTGTGGCAGAAATTTCTACCATGGCCCAGGACCTTCAGGCTGCAGCTATTTCTATGAGGCATACCTGATACACGATAACTGATGTGACCTCTCCGCTGTCTGTCTCATATTCTAAGCAGAAGAGCTGATGGCCAGAAGGCTCTGGCTCGGAGCCGCCACTACAGCTGCTTTCACCGGACTCCTCACAGTCTGGGTTGCTTGGGTGGGTAGAGCCATCTGGAAAGATGAACCAGAGTGAGAGGGAAGAGAAGGCTGCTGGAACTTCTGCCCAGAGATAACACAGGAAAACATACTGTGAAGAAAGCCCCAATCTTATTGATCCTGTGTGTGTGTTTATGTGTTAAGTGTGCTAATTACCCCTGTGTCCCTGTTCCAAGGCTAGCACAGTACCAGCACATAGTAAGTACACAATGCACATTTTTCCAGTGTTGGAAGGTTGTGGAGAGAAGTACAGAGCTCTGCCTGTGCTCAAATTCAGGTTCTGCAACTTACTAGGTCTATGATCTTGGGCAATTTACTTAATGTCTCTGAACCTGTTTCTTGACTGTGCAACAGAAAAGGTAAGAGTTCCTACCTTATGGGGTTTTATGAAAAATAAACGAATTAATATGCATAAAAACTAAAAGCACTTTAACGTCCAACCTATTTAGCATCCTGTATTAACTACTGTGATCTCCAGGTTGCAGAAAAGCTGGAGGAAAAAGGTCATCTAATGGGTTAGGGCTTCATTCCACAACTATGTCCTGGGTGCCTATTGCTGTACCAGACTTTCTCTCTGTCTGATGGTGAGAATATGGAAAATATAGTATGGTTGAGCACACCAACAAACAACTCGTGCTGGCCCTCAGGTATGTCCTGTAACAGCGATGCTTAACTAGAGGGCATGAGCCCTCCCTTTCGTGCGGGAGAATCACTGAGCGGAAGCTGGGGAACGCTGAGATGGAGGTTCCACGAAAGGATGAGATGAATTGAGTCTTGGGACTTATAATGAGGTTCTCTCCATACAGAGGGATTACGCTGAGGCAGAAGGCCGAGGGCCGGAAGAGCGCGCAGGCCTGAGGAGGCTGGCGGGGCGGGAGGCCTCACCTCGGTGTCGCGGTAGGTACACCTGCAGGTCGGGCTTGCGGGGCCGCGTCGGCGCGGGTGTGTGCCGCCTCCTCACTTTCTCCTTAGCCGCTTGCTTCACCTTCTTGTCGTAGTCGTCCCTGCGGGGAGCCGAGCGGGAGTCAGGGACCTCCGGGCTAGACTAGACCCAGGGTGGCGGCGGCGGCGCGGGGCGGGGCGGTACCGGGCGAGCTGGTTCCGTCGGATATGGTGCACGAAGCCGTGGCTCATGTCCAGCCGCCCGCCGGGCTTACAGCAGAGCCCCGGCCCGGAATCCCGTGTCGCTGCCATTGGAAACCTGTAAGGAGACCCGCCGCCGCCTCAGTGGTCCCAACGGCCACCCTCCCGGCCCGAGAGGTCTGTGCTGGCGCTAGCTCGACTTCCGGCCCCGCGTCCTGACGTCATGCACGTAAGGGCGGGCCGGGCGGAGCGTCGCGACGCGCTGGGTCCTGGGGCGGGGCTCCTGACTTACGCTTACCGCTAATACATCAAACCTTCCAGAAAAGCACAAAGCGAATACTCGAAGTCGCGGTCCTCAGTTGTCTCATTTGTAAGTGAGGACACCGAAAGCGCCTACCTCAGAATAAGCTGTGGCGAGGCCGGTGGGCACAACGGAGAGTCCTGGCTGTTCGCTCCGCTGGGGGCGACGGGCCCCCCCAGTCGAACCCAACAGAGCCGCAGCTCTGCGAATGTCCCTGCCTGTCCAGCTGCCCACCGGCTGGATGTCTTAACTGTCTTTGTGGGAGGGCCCAGCCTTTGACAGGCCTGGACTCGTGCTGAAACACCGGGCAAGCTAGAAATTAGGCAGTTTTAGGGAGGGTGCAGGAGGGGACCTCTGAAGAATTTAGGGAGGCTTCAGAGATAAGGACAACCAAGGGAAAGTAACCCATTCCACTAGAAAAAACAAACATCTCAGGACCAAGGACAACATTGTTAACGCTGGTCCTGGTTTCCTTCAGGTGGTAAAGGGAGGCAGAGATTGGAGAAATGGAGAGTGGTTTAATTTATGGACAACTTAGAAGGGCAGCTGTTTAACTTCAATGCGGGGATGTCCATCCAGAGGACTGGGCCATAAAGATAAAGATGTAACAAATGGGGAAAGAGAAAGCTGTTAGATAAGGAATGTGAAGATCCCCCACTCAGTAGCAAATTAAATGAGACGGCCGAGAACTAACCAATTGCAGAGAGACTGGTGGAGCTTTAGAATAATGAGGGAAAGAAGGTATATATTCCCTGAGACATGACTCCACTTTGGCTTCCTTGCCCCTCCCAGGCCTGGTTCCCTGGCCTGGGAGTCCCACTTTATTTCTGTTCTTTTTCTCCTCAGTAAACTTTTTCTTTCTCTAAACAAACCTGCCTCTTCTTGCTTGCTTGCCTGAGCGTCTGTGAAGTTCCTGCTGCGGCTTCGTGAGACACCAACCCGTGGGGGTCTAGTGGCAGGGACTCAGCGCTGCCCTGCAGCCTGGGATCGTTCCTGGCTGGGAGACTAGGCCTGACAATTCTGGTATCAGTGCCATTTTCGGGTCCTCTTGTTAAAAAAGCAAAAATAGTTATCTAGTTATCAGCGATTAGAATAGGGACAAACTGGTTCACCTTACAATGGAATATCAATGAGCAATGAAAAAGAATGAACTTGATATACTCGAAGGCGACTAGGACAATACTCAGATACTTCGATTGAAAGAAAAAAGGGACATGCTATGTATTTCCCTTTATATAAAACTAGAAAATGCGAACTAATCTGAAGTGATAGAAAGTCTATCAATGATGCAGGTAGGATGACACTTTTGGGGCTGGTGGATACGTTTATTATCTGATCGTGGTGATGTTTTCCGGGTGTATCCATCAATTCATACGAATTTAGTAAATTGCACATTTTAAAACAGCAGTTTATTGTTTGTTAATTATACAATACTTTAGAACTATAAAGCCAACGCAATGGAGTCAGGGTTGTAGAAGGGTCTTGGAAAGCACAGGTCCAAGTCTTGTGCTTTAGCAGCTTCCTGAAAAGTTCTCCCTTGCCCAACGTTTGCATTTTCCTGTATTACCAAGAACACCCTCTAAAAGTGGGATTGAACCTCCAAGTTGCTGCATGAAGGGGATGAATGGGGGTTTCGCCTAGTTCTGTGCAGTGGCTTCAGTTTCCAAGGTAGGGAGAATGGGCAGACGATCTCCAAATTTGGTTTCGAGGGTAAAAAGTACCCCCGATAGCTTCTTTTATGCAGAAACTCACTAGTCAGCAAAAGGATCCTGCCTGTTTAAAACCGGAAATTGTGGGTAAGGAGGCAGTAAACTCGCAAATCGTTCTCTGTGCACAGGCTATAGCAAAGAAACCAAGAAGGCGGCAGTAGCTCGCAAAAGTTTCCTCCACGTAGTTTGTCCCCGTCGGCGACCGGTAGAGAGCCTTAGCCGCCGTTACAGCCCCGATCCTGATTGGCTGCGGGCCGCGCGCTTGAGCGTGGCCGGCGCCTGCGCAGGGCTGCTCGGCCGGTAGTGGCGATGTCTGGCCGGTCCAAGCGGGAGTCTCGTGGTTCTGCCCGCGGGAAGCGCGAGTCCGAGTCGCGGGGCAGCTCGGGTCGCGTCAAGCGGGAGCGAGATCGGGAACGGGAGGCAGAGGCGCCGAGTTCCCGGAGCAGCCCGGTGCGCGTGAAGCGGGAGGTCGAACCGGCCAGCGCGCGCGATGCCCCGCCGCTTGTCCTCCCCTCGGTGCGGGTGAAGCGGGAGCGCGAGGCAGACGAGGACTCTGAGCCTGAGCGGGAGGTGCGAGGTGCGCGGGGCCAGGACGGGCCGGGCGCTGGCTCCACTCTCGTCTTCTTTCTTTCCAGCAGTCCCACCCCCGTGAAGAAACTCACTCCACCGTCCAAGTCCGCTTTCCGACTCGACTGCATTTTAATGAGCATAGTCCTAGTTGTAATAGTAACAATAGTTATAATTTGTGTTTTAAGCAACAATAGTAACAGCAGCAGCTTGTTTTTATCGAATGCCTGAAGCGGGCCAGGCACTGTGCTATTTAGAGGGGTTACTCCCAGCAGTTATCACAAAACCTCTGGGTCGTGAGTTCCTCCCTAATTTTGGGGATCAGAACTTTCAAAGTTGAGAGGCTGAACGCTGGGTTCCTGCACCGTACACCCGTTATTCTGGGTTTAGCAGTCGGTCTAGTCTGTCTGAGACTGAGTCATTGCGCTTTGGGAAAGCAGGTTTCGTCTGTCTCGCACCGTAAATTAGTGGAAGTTATCCTGAACTCACGAACTTCAATATTCAATAGATCTAACAACGACCAGGGAGGCTGGGCTCCCTGCTTCCCCCATGACTACACCCATTGCTGCTTATCACTGGATGCTTTCTGCTCTAATGATTTATGGAGATTTCCTTTCTGTAGTGTGTGATCTTGTTGATACCAACTTGTTGATAGTTTACCAATCATTAAATAGGTTTCCACTACTTATAAAAATTTTTCCTGTTCACCCCAACTACATATTTTTCTGTATTGAACTTGGAACTCCTGACTTGAACATGTCCCTGTATACTTGATTTCTGGTGAGTTAGTTGGAGATATTGAAGTATTAGGTGACCAAATCACTAGGCTAAATTGCTAAGGGTAGAGTTTGTCGAGATAGGGGTTATCGTCTCCACACTTTTGTAATTTTGCATTTGGTCCCAATTATCTGTATATTTATTAACTTTTTTTTTTTTTTTAGAAAGATAGCATTTTTTTAAAGATTTATTTTTTATTTATGCATACAAGAACTGGGGTGTAGGCTCCCTGGCCAGGGATTGAACCCATGTCGCTGTGGCTGGTGATAGCTTTGTAGTGCCGAGACTTAACCCCTTGCACCAACGGGGGGGCCCAGAAGATAGCATTTTAAAAAAAATTATTTTTGCATATAGGAATTGGGGTGTAGGTCAGAGGTACAGGAGGATTCACCAGAGACAGTGGGGTGCAGTACAGGCGGATTTACAGAAATATACCAAGGAGAGCAGTGGGCAAGACAGGAGAGGTCTGCTGTGCAATGTGGGTTAGCTCCTTGGCCTGGGATGAAACTCAGGCTGTAGGGGTGATAGTGCTGAGTCTTAACCCCTCGACTGCCAGGGAGGCCCTGATTTTATTAACTCTTACATTAACTCTTAATTTCTTGTTAGGTTTATCTTTGATAAATTTTTGTATGACACTGGGCACAGAATAGTACCTTACTTATAGAAAATGCTCAATAATTATTCTCTGACTAATAATAATTTCAGGATATTTGCTGATTTCCTTTACTTAAATACTCTGTCAGCCTCAAGTTTCCCTTTGGAAGAGAAATTGTTCCTTAGATATTTTGTGTAGTTGTGTTAAGGAGATTTTTTTCTTTGGGATTCATTAGGATCCCAGTTGCTGTAACTTTTTCCTTTTATGTTTTTGTCATGGTATAGATTACAAGTACTAAGATGAACTGAATGTTTATATACATGAGTATAGTTTAAAGACAGGTGTGGACATACATTCTTAAACTGTGCAGGGTCTGAGATTTTACCTTATTTGCAAGCTACGGTGTTAGCCTAACACAGTTTCATGGAGGCTGATGGAAGACAGGAATAATAATGGTCATGGTAGTCTGTCTCTGACTATCATGCTTCTGATAGTAGTCATGATAGCACTATCAAGCTATCACTAGCAACAGCAACATGAGTTGGATCCTTGGCCTGGAGAGGGAGACCTCTCCTGTCTCGCCCGCTGTTCCCCTCAGCAGTGTTTCAGTCTTGGGACTATTTGGTCTGAGGCAGTTTATCACAGCAATCACAGTAACCAGAATATAGCATTGGTGTTAGTCCCAACAAAGCTGGTTGAGGAAATTCCATAAACATAGTGGACAGCCTTATAGGAGAGGAACTTTGAGGTTAGAGAAACTGAATCTTTTATAATGGGCTGTGGGCTTGTCTCTCCTTTGTTTTGTAAGAAACACTGTTTCTGTATTCCAAAGCTGTTCACTATATAAACATCCTTGATAAGGTAATCTAGAGACAGACAGTGACTTTGGTCACAATATATTGAGAAACATGAAAGATCCATGGAGTATTGTCTCCTAGTTAGTTCAAGAATTGGTACATAACCAGTATCTTAGAAGCTCCCATAGACCCCTTTCTAGTTCTGCCTTACTTCCTTGCTTATGTAATCACTCTCTTGAATTCTAATCATTTCAAATTTTATCTCATATATGTCCTCCTAAGTAGTACGGTGTTTTGTATTTACATAAATGAAACCATGTTGTATGTAGTCTTTTTCTTTTTTTCTTTTTTAAAGATTTATTTTATTTATACAAGCCAGAGGCGTGGGAGGATGAGGCAGAGAGGGGAGCAAAACAGGCAGACGGACTGAGCGGGCGAGAGAGGAGAGGTCTG